CCCCAAGACCCCAAAACCCCAAAACCCCAAAACCCCAAAACCCCAAAACCCCATTGGACGAAAATCTGCTTGAAATCATACTTCACCGAGAACTTTAAAGAATTTTATAAAATTTATTTACTAGTGAGGTAAGTAGCTGACACTTTTCACTCCTTGAAAGGCCAATGCTTATTGGGTTATAGAGATGATTAGCAAACCTACACAGCCAGTCAGAGATGGCATCTACAACCAGCAGTCCCTATCTTCTTCCTCTGGTAAGGGATTAAGAGTTATTTCTATAGAAAATGAAGAGCTTTGTTCCAAGCACAAACTTGTGTATGTGGCAATGGATAATGTGACAAAGAAGTTCCTCTGCAATGCTTGTATTTATGTAAGTTACTTCTGATGCATTTTTGACTCTCATCAGCTGTTTCTAATTTTTGTGTTTAGGAACAAGAGAGTATCAATATCACTTTCCTTGCCAACACAGCCAAGAAGATTCTTGAGAAAGTTGAGTCTACCCATCAAGCCAATGTTAAGAAGCTCCAAAAGGCCAGGGAGATCAGCCTTGCTCCCACAGTTGAAAAGATGGAGGCTAAATCGAAGAAGAGAATTGAAGATCTAAGAGGGAAGGTCTGGAGTTGCCAGGGGTCACTCCTAGACTCCTTTAAGGCCAACAAAGATATCACTGAGCTTGAAGATATTTTGAATAGTATCACCAAGTTCCTAGATCCTAGAGAGACCAAGGTCTTCCAAGATGAAGCTCGTGATGTTGAAGTCATGACCAAGAACGGCAACTTCGCCTATATCTGTAACAAGAAGAAGTTCTATGACGATGCTTACAAGATTATGGCAGAGGTCACAAGACTTTGTAACATGTATTCAGACAGAGGATCCAAACTCGCTGAAAAAGTAGTATCTTTCAAGCTTGACAAGAAAGCATTGCAGAAGATACTTGAGCAGAAATACAATGAGAGAATGAAGAGTCTCAACCTTCCTCCATTTCCTAAGAGAAATGTCGCACTTAACCTTGATAAGAAGGGAGTTGGTAAGAATTTCATCAACATTTCTCTAAATTTGTATCTCTTAAGTTTTACTTGGATCTTCCTAACAAATTTCTGTAGAGATGAAAGATGCTTCCAACAAGGAATTTGTTAAGGCGCAATTGAAGGACAATAACATTGATTTGAAGAAAGATCACCCAAGACCTCTGATAACTTCTAACTTATTTCCAGATTCAGAGACTGCTAATCGATCAATGGAGATGGCTCCTAGTCCAAGTCCATCACCAGTTTCCAGGCCACAACAAGTGAATATTGTTTCTCAGATATCCAATCCTTCTCTCAACTCTCCCAAAAAGAAATTGACTCTTGCTCAAAGGATGAAGAATAGGGTTGGGAAGCCAATCAGATCTATGGCTCAATCAAAGTACAACCTTACAAAAATTGGAACTAAAGAGCCAGGCATCCCTGTCACTAAGGAGTTTTTAGAAGGAGACACTTGAAACCTAACAGAGTTTGCCATTGCAGATAAGACAGGAAGAGTTGTCACTAAGATAGATCATATTCCTACAAGTCTGGAGGAACTCCCACTGAGTATTCCAATTTTGCTAGATGAAGAAAATAACATCAGCAGGATTTCATATGGTAAGTTTTCATTCAAACACACCTATTTCACCAAGATTCTAATTTCTTCTAGAACTTGTCCCAGGATCCCAGAATGTGAAGTTCATGAGTGAGTACTTAGAAGAGGTGGGAAGTCCTGCTCCAATGCCTGAGTGTTTCTCAATGCTGCTGAAGGATATCCACAATTGCTCTCAAATATATCTCAAGAGGAAAATGGTTCAAGCTTCCTCAAAAGATAGATATGCGAATGTGACTGTTAGAGACAAGAACATTATAAATATGAATCAGACTTCAGCAATGCCTCCTCCCCCTCCAAGGAAGAAATCAATTTCAAATCCTGGAAGTAAGAAGAAGCAGGGTCTCTCCAGGACGCTGGGAACTCTCCAAGCTGCTTTTCAGAAGAATGAAGAGGCTAAGACAATGAAGAGCCCAGTTCGAGATCTAAGTTCAGGAAATTGTGGCTCACAAATGATGACGAACAAGAATCAGCCAACTGCTTCTCAATCTCCTTCGGCAGCTAAGCCAGTTACTCAAATTCAGGAAAATAATGTGATAAGTAACACAGGGTTAGGCTCCAGTTCTTTGTTCAAGAATCCTCCACCAGTTAATGCAAAAATTGCTGAAAACAAATCTGCAGGTGAAGAGGTGGATCTTTGACAACTGAAAAATGTTCAACAAGATGTTCAGCAGATTTCAAACCCAGTGGCTCCTCCCAATTCCCAAGATGATACAATTCAAGCTTCTAAGGATACCTCAGCAGTATCCATGCTTCAGCAGAATTTGAAGGAGATCACACCTTCTTTTGTAAGATACTTAGGTTAACTTTTAGATTGAGAACAAGAGAATGAGGAAAGAAGATACACAGGCACAGCCTGGACCTAAGACTGCCGTTGACTTATCTAAGGACGTCATTATGATAGATCCTCCAACTGGACAACAAGACCCAAAGATAGTTGGAGAGAAGAACGGTCAAGCCAATGCTATTGAGATTGATCCTCCCACTTCAATGTCTGCCTCTAAGAATGCTCCTATTGATATCACTGGAAGTACTTCTGCTATCTCCCAAAATAATACTTCAGCCAGTAAAGGTCCAAAGTCTTCTGAAGTGATTGATCTTGATGGAAACTCAGGCCAATCTAAGCAGCCTACTACAGTTCAGCAGAGAATTGCCGAATTTCAGCCTGTACAAAGACAGATGCCTTCTTCAATCCAGCAGCCTATTCAAAGACAAGGTGTTCCTAATACTGCAAAGTAAGTGCTTAAAGCCTTAATAATAGCAAAATTGAAGAAGAGAAGAAAATAGGTAGTCCAAAGGTTTCCAAGCCCTTCAGTCCTTCTAGCTGCAGAACTGACCTCAAACATCTGCTTGAGATGAAGGGCAGGTCCATCCTTGCTTGGGACCTAGCAGAGAAGACAGTTGAAGGTAAGCCTGACAGTCTCATCTGTAGAGAAAAATGGGATGTTCGAAAAAGTCGTTAAGCCAGTAATGAAGAAAATGTATACTATCGCATTCCCAGAGCCTGTGAATCAGTCCTTTGTCCAGATTGATAATGATAGAGCAGTGATCTTGGGTGGGACAAAGGACATTACTGGGCAAACCTTCTACAAAACTGTTTTTATGTTTGATCACAAAAAGGCACTCCCTATCAGGTTCAAAAGGATCAATGATATGAGTGAGCCAAGGCTCTTCCCAGGCATATGCCTTAGCCAAGACAAGAAGAGAATCTATATCGCAGGAGGTAAGAAGTCGATGACTAATATATAGGAACGAGTAAGTACAGATGCTAAAAAAGTTATCTCAGATTCCTATCTGTTAGCATCAGAACTTTTCTGACTGAATTCTACTAATTTGTAACTTTTGGTTAACTGCGGATCATGAATTATCTCAGGGATAACGTATCATTATAACAGATTGAGTCGGGTCCAATATGAAAATATATCTCTAGAGAGAGAAAGATTATACTAACTTTTTATAGATGAATCAGGTATTCTTAGTTCATGAGAAGTACTTGACATTGAGAAAGGAGAATGGGAGAAACTACCCAGCTTATGAATACCCAACAAGTCACCAACCTTGCTGGAAGTCAATCATCCCAAGGAAGGCTTGTGCCTGCTTTCAACTGGAGGAAGCTCAATGTAAGTTTGATTTCTTGCAAATTTGACTAATTTTTAGGAACTCAGAAGGAAAGTTAGTTCCATCAAAGGATATTGAGAAATTATCATTAGCTAGATTCCTCCCTAACCCCCCTGAAGGAGCAAAATCTTGTAAATGGGAGAGCCTGAGCGAGAAGTTGCCAACCCAGAATCTAGACTTCTGTGCTGTCCAACTAGAGTCAAATAAGGTTGCTTTTATCGGAGGATTCATCAAGAATATGCTGCCTCAATCCTGCCTACCCAAAACCCTCACACCAAGCCAGTCGACCTCCAGTAGCCAAGACATATCCCTCTTCTGTTTGACTCCTGATTCCTTCCTGTCGTACATGATCTCATTGCCTTTCTCCACGCCTGACATATTCACTGATCAGCCACAGTTCAGGCTGACTTCTTCTCCAGCCCAGTTGCACTTCCTAGGTAGTAGGAACTACCACGTGCTTAACCTGGACAAGTTCAAGATTGATAGCTACAAGCTTGACAGGTAATGAGATACTTAAGCAGTAATACTTACAAACAATAATTAGACTGTTAGTGGGGTTTTGGGGTTTTGGGGTTTTGGGGTTTTGGGG